AAGAAAGAGAGAGATCTGATCTAACCTCTCTCCCTTTCTCTCTCTCTCTCTCTCACACAAACACACAGAGGCAGGGGTGGGATTCAAATTTCTTAACAACTGGTTCTTGGGCGTGGCCTAATTTGTGGTGGTGGCTTTGTGGTCATGTGACTGATGATGGGCATGGCTTGCATGTAAATATAAATATTTATGTAAATATTGAATTTTTTATAAAAAAGAGCGACTTTTACTCAAAATCAGGCAAAGCAGGCAGGCAGATTGAGTTGCTCACGGAATCAGATTCAGAGATCTATCTTTCTGCCTTTGGCTACCTGAGTCTGTCACATAAAATTTGCTTGCAAGCAAACTCATAAAATTTGCTAGCAAGCAAACTCACAAAATTAACTCACAACATAACATGTATGTAAATATTGAATTTTTTATTTAAAAAAAGAGCAACTTTTACCCAAAATCAAGCAAAGCAGGCAGGCAGATTGAGTTGCTCACAGAATCACACATTCACTTAGAGATCCGTGTTTCTGCCATCGGCTATCTGAGTCTTCACTGAATAATAGAACCTTTAGTCCTGGGGGGGGTTCGGCTCTTCTTTTAAGCAGAGATCTAAAGATTAACTAGAAAGCAAGAAATCCAACGATTTCCTTCTTTCTAGCTAATCTAAACCTCCCGGCAGAGCAGAACAGCTGATAGTCGGGGAAAAATAAGGAAAAATAGCAACTTAGCAGGCAAGTTTGCCAGGTAAGGAGTGGACAGGCCATGTGGGCGGCGCAGCCTGGATTAATTGCTTTGGGGGTGCTCTGGGGGTGACATTTCTATGTGGACCATCAAAATTTTCTCGTGGACGCCCAAGTAGGCCGCGGCCCACCAGTTGGCAACCACTGTTCTAGACTATGCCAAATCCAAAAAAGCTAAAGATTCCCAGAAGTTTGGCATTCAGACAAATCAGTCACCAATAGAAACACAAACTAACCACTGCAAAATAAACAAAATAAACCATATTACACGCTATTAAACCATATTACACACACAAAAAAACCATATTACACACCATTCAAGATACAATAAAAGGGGAGGGGGGCAAACATCAGAACATATCCTCTCCAGCACCCAAATAAGCAATAAACAAGGTACCACCAAGAGAAAACTACATCCCCACCAGCACTGGGAAGGCAAGCTGTCTAGGTAGTCCTTGATTTACAACCTTTCACTTAATGTTTTGAATTAATGACAGGTTCAGAAAGGGAGCTTTACTTCTGACCATCACAAAGATTGCACACATGTTCATAGTCATGTGATCACAATCTGGGTGCTTGGCAACCTGTTCGCATTTATGATCTGTTGCCAAGCACACTGTGACTATGCAATCACCATTTAAATATGCTCTGCTAGATTCCCCACAAATTCAATGGGGAAGCCAGCAGTAAGATTGCAAATGGTGATATTTGCAAAGAGAACTTACACTCGGGGTCTGGATGTTGGGTGAAAGAGCTGCTTGCCAAAGGATTTCAGTTCCTGAGCAGGGAGGTAAGGAGGACAAGATGCCTCATGGAGAGGGAGTCCCAGCAAAAAACATATTTGTCTTTCCACTGACAGGTAAAGTCAATGGGGAAGCCAATAGGAGGTTGCAAATGGTGATTTATGATCACGAAAGACTACAACCACTCAGGATTCACCTAACAATATCAACTGGTTTTGTCATCTTAAGTTCATGCAGTCATGTGACATCACACCTTATGACTGTGTCATCAAGTGATGGAGTTCCCAGTCCCAATTACAACTAGTGAGCAAGGGCTACCAGTATAGCCTGCTAATCTAATGTCTAAACTTGAAATTTAAATGTATATTCCTATCTCTAGACTGCTTCTCTATGGAACAATCAATACAGCTTTCTTAAAGTCTAAAAGAAAGATGAGTCTGCAAGATGAGTAGTTCAACTCCAACTAACAAATATAATCTGTGACAGCCTTGGGGTCACAACTAAATACAACTATTTAGCTATGTGGCCGGATATGGTCATAAATTCAGAACAAAACTCAATGAACAAAACCCATGTATTTTGAGTTTAGGTTAGCATTTTAACCTGAACCCTGTAATTACAGCCTATTTGTTACTATCAAAATAAACAGGATCCAAGAATTTATGTTATTCAAACTACAAGATTCTCATTAAATCAGCAAAAATGAGCAGTTTGTTTTGTTGCAAACTTGCTGTTACAAATAAAACAGGAAGAGCTGTGGTGGTGCAGTGGTTAGATTGAAGCACTGCAAGCTACTTCTGTTAACTGTCGGTTGCCTGCAATTTGGCAGTTCAAATCTCACCAGGCTCAAGGTTGACTCAGCCTTCCATCCTTCTGAGGTGGGTAAAATGAGGACCCTGATTGATGGGGGCAATAGGCTGACCCTATAAACCACTTAGAGAGGGCTGTAAAGCACTGTAAAGTGGTATATTAGTCTAAGCGCTATTGCTACTTATAAAAGGTGATAGAGTAATTATGAGGACAAACAATAAAAGAATAAAAATAAAATACCTGGTGATACCTTTCCCACACTGTTTACATATGAATTTACATGCATATACACATGCAACTGTATGTGTTGTATATGTGCACAATGCTCTATTGCTTTAAATTCTCTTAAACTGTTTGCAAAATATTGGGAGCTGGGGTTTGCTTTGGGTTTCTTGTGTTCAAGCATTCCCACAATGAGATAATTGCACCTTGTTTCCCTTCCTCCCAGTGTCATCTTGAAAATGAGAATCACATCTGAGGGTCAGAGCTTTCCTTGGAAATCTCACATCTTCAGGTATGTCTCTGCCTTTGAAAAACAAACACAGTACAGAACCTGGAACTGTCCCATTGCTTTGCATCAATCTAATACAATAAGTCTGCTATGAAAGACGCAAAGACAGCACTCATCAGTGACCCACCCCCCCATTTCCTGTCTCATGACCTAGAGATGAAACACATCCTTTGAGAACTCTGTCTTAAAGGATGTACACATTTTCTCATATAGAAAGGAATACTTATTAAGATGAAGTGTATTAGACAAATATGATCTGAAAATAAAGTCTAAGTCATGCTTAAAATATAAAAACTTGACAATTAAGCTTTTAATTTAGAATGTAAAATTTAACTTTTCTGTTATATATTCTAAATGATCTGTGATTAATGTGTGTATACACACATGCATGTATGGGTGTGTGTGTGTGTATACATACACACTCCAGTAAAATATATATATATATATTGAGAGTAGGCATCAGAATTTCATTCTTAATTTGTACTAGTGTGTTCACAGAAAAAATGACAGTAAAACTTACATTATCTTAAAATTTCCTTATTTAACATTACAATGCTATATGTTAACAAAAATTAAGAGTTCATACGGTATTATAAAAATCAACAAAGGTTTCAAAAGCAAACTCAGTACAAATCTACCAGGGTTGCATTTTAATGACAGCACCTTCAATTCACAATTACCTGCTACAAGTTATTCTTTAAACTTAATTGATGCTGCAACCAATTTTTGCCAGTCACAGACAGCAAGAGAAACAAGCATGTAAACATGTAGATTCAAGCATATGAGTATTCCCCCCCCCCCAAAAAAAAGGATACTTCTTTTCTTTTTAGAATTTTTCTGCTAACCCAAAACCTTTGTCACCTCTCCAATGTAAAACTACATACTATAGGGATTTATACTGCTTTATGTTGTTTTATCTATTTCAAGAAAACTGCAAAATCTACCAGTATCATAAATTAATGAAATATATCAGTATCTTTATTCAGATATCACAAAACTGCAAAAGATTAAGATTGCCTTTTAGGTATGTGTGATTTCACTCCCCAACATTTCCAGGAGGCTAAGCTTCATAAAAACTCCATACATCTGCTGATTGAGGGCCGGCTTCACAAAGATAGGTTGCTCCATTCATCCCATGACACTGACAGGTATGGATTTAAAACTGGAGTAGTCAAGCTATACAAATCAAAATACAAGTCTCCAGTATCATTCAAAAAGGTACAACTTTTTAACATACAGCTTTTCCTACAAATAGCCACTCTCCTTAAGCTAGAGAGAGAGAGAGGAAGGATCGACATCCTAATCTTTATGCCGTAATCCTCTTCCACCTCTCTGGGAGGAAATTTTAACAAGCAAAGTCAGAGCTCCTCTGAGAAAGCCACAACCACCATCACCACCATTTCACTGCCATTTTCCTTTTCTTTGCGTGTGTGTGTGTTTAAGAAAAATTTAAAACAAGTTACTCACAATCATCTAAGTCATCCTGCAAATCCACAAAATACAAAGGGATCCCTACAAATGAAAACAAGAGTAAGAAAGAGAGAGAAGACACGCGGGGGGGGGGGGGGGTGTGGTGGGGGGTGTGTGCCCCCAAAACCGGGGGGGGGGGGGGCGGGGGGGGGGGGGGCAAGCATAAAACACACAAATAAATGAAAGCCTCAAGAGCAGCACATGAAACAGCAGCCCCAGACGCCATGGCACCGCCATTTTCAAACAACCTCTGACCTTCCCACACCCCCAAGCAGCAGAACACATATTTAAAAAGCTGGCGAAAGAGAGCGGGTGGTGGTGGAAGGAGAGAGACACCCAGGTAAGCAGGTCGTCCCCACCCCACCACTTACCAGCCATTTTGAAAGGCGCATGGGTGGGGAGGAGACTGGGGTCCAGAGAGGACGGCCGAAAGGAGGAGCTGCCGGCTTTATCCCGGTCGCCTTGGGCAGCGCCCTGCCTCCGCCGCTCGCCCGAAGTCAAACGTCAATGGCTGTCTCCGTGGACCGAGCCTTCCTTCCCCGCCTCTCCTCCTCCTCCTCGCCCGGCTTCCAGTCTTGAGGCGGGTGGCGGGGTGTGTGTAATTTAATAGCGTTGAGGCGAGGACTCCGCGAAGCCGAGGCGCGCCTGGAGAGCCGGAGGACGGCCCGCGCGCCAACATGGGCGTTTCCTTCCTTCCTCCCTCCCGGATTAGGTCACTGGGAAAAAAGGCCCGTCACGTGACGCTCGACGCGGGGCTGTCCAAGATGGCGCGCGGCCTGTGGGCTCTGAGGAGAAGGAAGAGGCGCGTTCACCTGTAGCCCGGAGCCGAGAGGCAGGGCGTGAGGCTCTTTCTCTGGGCCCCGCCTTGGGAGGCCTTTCCACCCCCCACTTTTTTTTTTCCGGCCGCCTTCTCCGGAGACTCCGTTGGGTAGCTGCGGGGCGGCTTTTCCATGTGAAAGTCCCGCGAAGGGGGTGATGGTGTGGCCGACCGGCGGCGGCGGTTCCTAAAAAAAGCAGCGGCGACCCCCCTCGGTTCTCGAGTGATGGCTCTGCGGGAGCTGAAAGTTTGCCTCCTTGGGGTGAGTTGGAAAGGGCGTGGAGGACAAGCGTGGCTTCTCTTTTCTCCTTTGTTCAGGCTGGTTTTAAAAGTTCGTTTTTGCGTTTCGGCAGCGCCTTCCTCGGAAGAAGGACTGGGGTTTTGCTCTCCATGAAGCTCGGCTTAATGGCTCTCTCTGGTCATCGTTACCTTAGTTGTGGGCTGGGAGGGGAATCGCACCTTAGAATTGGGGTCGTCTGTTTCCCCCCACGAGAAATGCCTTAACAGCTTCACCCCAATTCTCGGCAGGTTTCAAAACGGCGTATTGCCAGGTCGGTGTTTTTAGGATTATCGTCTGACAGCCCTTCGACTTCTGAAAACTAACAATATGGACTTGGGCGGTGATGCTCCTTTATTTTATTTTTATTTTTTAATTTCAAGCAGTTCCTCATAATGCATTTATTGGGAGTCCAGCCTGAACCTCCCTCTGTGGGATTTCTTTCCAAATATGTGCTCAAGGCTGCAACTTTTAGAGGTTTTGTTCTTTCTTGGAAAGGAAAGGAATTTCGTAATTTGTTCTCCAACCAATTCCACAATAATTACTTGCAATATTTCTGGGCGGAAAAGCAGTGTTTAAAACGTATGTGCAAACTCCTGGTTGACAGATTCTGAGATGAGTTTCGAAAATTCATTTTAAAAGTATGTAACAAAATCCTTTATTGTAAAGGAAACGGGATGATGGTCAAGGCTATGGGACTATTGAATAGAATGAATCTTATTTCTGAGGACAAAGTCACAGGATTTCACTATAAAATGTTAATATCTAAATAACAATTTGAATTAAAGCCCAGTTATGAGAGTGGCTTACAGGACAAAATATACAATTTTCCTGAAAACCAATATTCTCTGTTTAGCAGAATTGTTTTGCATATGAAGGAATTAGGTACCCTATGATTGGTACAGGTAGTCCTTGACTTATAGGTGAGTGAGCTGCACTGGCTCACTTACCTATGGCAGGAAAGGCCTTAAAATGCGATAAGACTCACAACAAATATTTCACTTAGCAACATAAATTTTGGACTCAAGTGTGGGTCATAAGTTGAGGACTACCTGTATAGAACAAGGCAGAATATGTTATATATTTTTCATTTAAATGGAGAAAAATGTGTGTTTAAGAACATGGAAACAAACAGAAAGATACCTTTCCTTTTTCTTTAGAAATACAGGTAGTTCTTGACTTAACCATTCGTTTAATGACAACAGCACTGAAAAAATGACTTAGGACTGGTTTTCACCCAACCATTGTAGCTTTCCCATGGTCAAGTGATCAAATTCAGGCACTTGGCACTTGGCATGTATTTATGACAGTTGCACTGTCTGGGGTAGTGATCACTATTTGTAACCTTCCTAACTGGCTTTTGACAAGCAAAGTCAATGGGAGAAGGCAGATTCACTTAATATGATTCACTTAACAACTGCAGTGATTTGCTTAACTGTGGTAAAAAGTTGTAAAATGGGGTGCAACTCACTTAGCTGCCTTGTTTAGCAACATAAATTTTGGATTCAATTGTGACCCTAAATTGAGGACTAGCTGTACCAGCATTATTGAATCCCAGAATCTTCAGCTAAAGCTATAATTATAATCTGTTTACAAAATTATGAACTCACAGCTGCCAGTTCTTTAGTTAGTGTTGGCTTTCATACCAAGTTCAAGTTCTTAAGAACCTACCTAGCATATTGTAATGTATCCATGTTATTATTTTGTCTTGCCTTTTCTGTATATAACTGAAGGCTCCTCCTCCTATTTATCCAGTGACAACAATCATGTGATATGGATTGGATTAAAAGGGTTACCCAGCCGGTTTTCATGTCTAAGGAAGACTGCAACTCAGTTTCCTGGTTTCTAGCCTATCACCTTAACTACTACACTTTAAACTTTAAAAAAAAAAAAAAAAAAAACTTTAACTGTGGCATGAAGTTTGACCATAGGCTCAAGCCACAGGCTCCAAAATCATGACATTACTGTTAATGATGGGGATGGAGGGGGTTATTGTTTTTACTCTTTGTATATTGAGGTTTAATTTTATGTAAGCCGCCTAGAGTCACTGAAAGAGAGTGGGCGCCCATCTAAATAAATAAATGAAGTCATAGATGCAACATGAGCATTGGATATTCACTTGTGAAAAAAAACAGGCTGTTTGTCCAGTTTAGCGTGTCTACACAAAAATAATTAGAGAAACATCACTGTACTTTCTCAAATACTTAAACCATACCTTCTTAATGATTTCCCTCCTCAGGTTTATGAATGCATACATAACCTTTCATTAAATAGGGAGAGGTTGAATGAATAACATCACCTTTTACTAACACCCTTGAAATACCTAAAACACCTTCTTTCCTATCCCAGTTGTTTAGTAGACATATTTTTAGGGTGGATCATTATATAGCTGTTGAAAATAGTCTCTAGTAAAGTATGTTACTATGTTTACATGGCAAATGTTTATTTGGGAAACCATAGAATGTTATCTAAAATAAAACACTAGCAATAGAAAATATGAAGGCCATTTAACTACTTGCTGCTTTTGGAGTTTTGCAGCATCAGTTCAATAGCCTTTGTGTTTATATGGTCCAGAAAGTTGGGTTCACTGAGTAAAGTTAATTATGAGTGCATCTATAGTTTAGTTTACTTTATTGTCATTGCACTTCTACAATGAAATCAAACACCATCTTCAGTACACATCATGACCATGAAAATAAACACAAACACACCTCCTTCATACTCCACGCATTGAACCTAAAACCCCAATATCACACTGCAGTATATAGTAGAATTCAAAAGAGCTACTGCCTTGGGATAGAAGCTGTTTTTCAGCCTATTTGTGCTTATTTTTATTATTCTGTACTGTCTGCCAGATGGTAATAGTTCAAAAAAGGGTTCCCAGGATGAGATGGTTCTTTCAGAATGTTTTGAATTTTCTTAAGGCAGCGGGAGCTATAAAGCTCTTCCGAAGAGGGGAGAGAGCAACCAATGATCTTCTGGGCAATGACGTTAACCCTCTGGAGTGCTTTCCTATCTGCCACTGTGCAATTGGCAAACCATGCAGAGGTGCAGTAAGTTAAGATACTCTCTGTGGTGCAGCGGTAGAAGGTCACCAGCAGTTTTCCATTCAGTTGTTTTCTGAGAAGGCAGCGAGCGCCTCCCCGCTGGACCCTCTGCTCATCCTGCCAGGGCCGCGCCAGAGCCATGCAGGCTGGGCAGAGCCAGGAAAGCGAGCCGCGGGTGCGCGCCCGCCTGCCAAGCGAAAGAGCCGGGCCAACCCAAGCTTGGCTTCCTTCCCAAGTACCTCCAGCCCGAACCCGAAGGGGCCACCGGGACAGGCCGCCCAAGGCAGTGATAGCACTCACCCATCCGTGGACAGGGAGGCAAGGCGACGGCCTGCGCCGCGTCCTCCTCTGAGCTGAGCCCCGCTGAGTCAGCGCCTCTGCCTGATGCCCGTTCCGCTGCAGCATTTGGAGCTGCCGGCGCATTTGGAGATGCGTGCGGATGGGGACGGGCTAGGCGAGGGGTGGAAAGGACGGGGGGCTTTGGGCTCTCTCCGCCGGCAAGGGAAGCAGCGTTGCCATCACCTAGCCTCGCTGTCCGCGGACGGGTGGGCGCTATCACTGCCCCGGGCAGCCTCTCCCAGTGGCCCCTTCGGGTTCGCGCTGGAGGGACTTGGGAAGGAAGCCAAGCTTGGGTCGGCCCGGCTCTTTTGCTTGGCAGGCAGGTGCGCACCCGCGGCTCACTTTCCTGGCTCTGCCCAGCCTGCACGGCTCTGGCGCGGCCCTGGCAGGATGAGCGGAGGGTCCAGCGGGGAGGCGCTCGCTGCCTTGGTGAGAGCTCTGCTGCCGGGAAGGAGGGCCTGCCTGTCAGCTGCACTGGGCGCCCCAGGCGAAGCTCTTCGTGCTCTGCCCAGCACCAGGCAGGGATGGTGGCTGGGCGCTTCTCCTGAGGTGGGTCAATCCTGCGCTGCGGCCCCAGGAGATTCGCCTCCCCACATGGGGTTGGGCTGCCCTCTCGGGCAGGGGAGTCTTTGTTGTAGTAGGGCATCGTTTTTAAAATAATTGGCTTTGCCTTCGAAGGCAAAGGGAAGGTGGCGACAGGAGTGCCTGAAGCCGAGTGTCTCTGCTGGGCTCCAGTTGCAGGGAGGAGCCCTGGCTGGCCGCATGTGGCTGCGCCAAACGCCATGGTGTTGCTCTAAACGCCACGGCAGCAAGGGAGAAGGGAAAGCAACGGTGGCAGAAGGTCTCCTGATACGAAGTGCCCCACCAACGCCGGGGGTCAAAAAAAAAATAAGGCCCGGCCTTATTTTGTGAGAAACACGGTAATAGATTCAAATAAGGTACAGGTAGCCCTCAACTTACAACTACAATTGAGCTCAAAATTTCTGTTGCTAAGTGAAATATTTGTTAAGTGAGTTTTGTCCCATTTTATGACCTTTCTTGCCACCATTTTGAAATGAATCACTGCAGTTGTTAATAGCATGGTTGTTGAGTTGCCATGGTGAATAGGCGGCAATACAAATCAAATCAAATAAATAAATAAATAAATAATGAAACTGACTTCCCCATTGACTTTGCTTGTCAGAAGGTCGCGAAAGGTGATTTCTTTTTCCAAAAAATATCTTGATCCTGGGACACTGCAACCATCATAAATAAGAGTCAGTTACCAACTATCTGAATTTTGATCAGGTGAGCAGGGGAATGCTGCAATGGTCAAACGTGAAAAATGGTCATAGGTAACTTTTTTCAGTGCTGTTGTAACTTTGTATGGTCACTAATCAATTTTTTGTAAGTAATGTCTCTTGTTCAGGTATCAAGAAGTTGCTAGTTGAGATTTTAAGAATCCTTCTTTATCTCTTTAATTGTTTCAAATGATTTAAGGCATTTTTATTATTCAATGGGTAATGTTTAGATTAAGATTTTTTTGGGGGAAAGAAACTGATTTATCCAAATTCATAGAAGTTGGATGGAAAATGCTGAAACTAGAGCTGCTTCTAGAAATACAGATAGGAAGATTGAAATTTAAAATTACCTGTTTCGTTTCTCTTTAAGGACACAGGTGTGGGCAAATCAAGTATTGTATGGCGCTTTGTAGAAGACAGCTTCGATCCAAACATCAATCCAACAATCGGGTAAGTATCTAAAACCTGCCTCTGCCTGCTGGGCTGGGGCCCCAAGGGGGAGTGGCATCTTGGAAGTGGCTAATGAATTAGACTGAGCCCCACCATGCACATTTTATTCCTTTTCCCATCTTGATTAATTGAATTTTATCTGAATTTTAAATATTTGGTTTTTATTTATTGTTTTAAGGTTAGGATTAGGGATAATTTTATGAGTGTAAGCTGGGTAGAATCATCTCGACAAGATGGGCAGAGTAGAAGTTTAATAATATTTTAAAAAATAGAAGTTTCATATAAAACAATGAGCTAGGAAGCTAAGCATTACATAAAGTGTGTGGTTTTTTCATAATTTTATTAAAGATTTTAGTTAAAGTAATAAAAGTGAATATATACTAAACTTGCTGACCCTACCACATAGTCAGGCACATGTAGTTAGATGGTTTCCCCCAAGTAACCAGGCTCTGTGGCAGGAAGGGCTTTATAGGTGATAACCAGAATCTTGAATGACACCTAGAAGCCAAGTGGCAGCTAGTGTAGCTCTCAAAGCAGCAGAGACATCATTGCACATGCCACTATATTCAGGGCCACCTGTATTTTTCAAGTGGTCTTCAAGGGTAGCCACATATAGGCTGCATTACAATAGTCAAATGGAGGGTAACTAAGACTTCAGTGACTATCTGAAAGACTTCCCAGTGCAGGAACAAGTGTAACTGGCAAACCTGTGTGAAGGCTGTCTCAGCCACGGCCCAAGAGGACCCCTCAGATTCCACAATAGTCTCTCATGGAGAACTTCAGTATAATTAATGACTAGATGGAATGTCCCCAAACGAGGGAGGGTATGTCAAAGAAATAAAATTCTTGATTTGTAGGATTGAACTCGAGGCTGTTCTATCGAGGCCTATACAGGCAGGCACTGGATCAGGACAGTGTGATCTTGTCAAATCAAGATGTGTAATTGGATATCATCAGCACATTAACCTTATCCAGTGGTTTCATGTAGATGTTAATAAAAGGAGAGAGTGTCAAGCCCTATTGCACACCACAAGTCAGAGGCTGATAATGTGTCCTCTCACCCAATCAGCACTGAATGAAACTGGTGAGGTATTATATTGGAGTCTGCTATCCTGCACAATTAGTCAATTGTCTTTAATGATAAAAGAGTTGATCAGTGGCAGTGCAACTTCAATGGAGATGACTTTTACTACCAATGAACTGATTGTTGGATGAAATGCTATGAAATAATATTTCCATACAGGATTTGTGATAAATCATTCTAACTGAAGAATAAGTGAGAACTCAAAGAATTCCCTTGAAAAAAGCAAAATGGATTCCTTCTTAATTTTACCTTCTGTAGGAATAATGAAAACAAATATTTACAATAATTCCTAGAAATAATAACTTCATTACTGATATTCTATTGTTTTTGAGAAATAATTGTACCATAACACATTTTAGATTACTATAAGCTATTTGGTCTATTTGGTTATGGAACTTGCCATCTCCTGTTTTGGAGATACTTAGTATAGAAGTTGTACTTGTCAGACTGCTACTGCAGATTCAGAGCATTGAGATAGAACTTTGAATGAGTCCATCCTAAATATGATTATGGTACAGTCTTGGTTATGTTACAATATATTGTGATGTGATTCTTGTGTTTTTTATGTTTATTAGTTATTTTGTGGTTTTAATTCTATGTACATCCTTGTTGCGAAATCTGCTAATTGAGCAGCCATATAAATTATTTCAATGAACTGAACTGAATATTTGTTAAACCATTTTTGAGAGCAGTACAGAAAATTATTTTAGAAAATGGATTGCGAATGCAAATTAGTGGCTGTTCCATTACTTTACCAACATTGCCATAAAGATTTCAGAAAAATTTAAATCTTAAATTTACATTCTATATAAAGCCAATTTTACTATTTAAATTTCATTTGTTTAAAGTGCTAATTTTAACATAATGTAATAGTTGGAATACTTCTGTTTTTCTTGGTTACATCCTATCTTCTAATGCCATTGATGTAAGATGGGTTTCCACTTCTTAGCTTATATGAAGACTTAAAGGCTTCCTGTATGATCAACCACAAGTGCCTATTTCTCCAGTATCCACCCCATCCCATCTTATTTCCACATTCAGTCACAGTACACATAGATATGTGGAGAATCTGAATTTATTTTATTTTTATCTCACCTTTATTATTTTTAAATGATTCAAGACAGCAAATATCCTTAATACATCCTCTTCCTGTTTTCCTCACAACATCCCAGTAAGGTGAGGTGAGATAAAAGAGAGATGGAGTAGCCCAAAGTCACCCAGCCAACTTTCATACCTAAGGTGGGAGTAGAACTCACAGTCTTCTGGTTTTTAGCCATGGACCTTAACCACTAAACCAAACTGGCTCTCATCCTGCAAAGTATATCCTGTATCCTGTATATCCTGTATCCTGAACTCTGTAAAATTAAATCATTTATTTTTGACCTTTCAAAAATCCATATAACTAAGTTGGTATCATTTTTTCCCCAAATGCCTTCTAAACAATAGGCAATCCCGCACATTTGTTTTCCTTCAGTTGAAGACACCAGAGACTTTGAAAACTGTGGTTACAGATTTTTTCCTTCCAAACTCATATCACTTTATAAATCATGAATTTTGTTCAATATTTGAAATGTGGCTTAGTAATTTTGCAATAAAAACCACTTAATAAAGTTTGAAGCTATTATTCTGCATCTTTAGGATGATTGCTCACATTTTAACAATGCCAAGAAACAAACTTTCATTTCACAAACGATACCAAGAATAACCATATTGTTCTGATTAATGATACACAAAACTACATCTACGTTTAGGTTTTTAATGTTGCTATTTGCTAAAGAAAATAAAAAGATATAAATTTGTGTGAATATTTATTGCTCATGGCCTATTTAAATAGTCTTAACCGTGTATTTATATCATACTATGGAATTGTTTAGTTGAATCAATTTGTCTAAAAGAAAAGAAAGTGGACCTTTTAACTTATAGAGTAGTATACTCAGGCAAAATTGCTCAACAATCCTCCTCCACTCTAGACTCTTGAGTAATTGAATGCTGCTCAAGTATGCAATGAGAAGCAATTCAAACCATTATATAATTGGTAGAGAATGGCAGTCCTTCCATTCTTGTGGTATAAATTACAACATTAAAAGTATGTTATATCAATTTATTTTGCCCTCTAGTTCCAGTTTCTGTTTTGTGTTGGTTGCATGAGGATAACTTTGCTAAAGTTTTCATTGGGCAATGTTTGCCTTAGATAATAAATTGAGATGTTTCTGTTTTACTAAGCAAAGCATGTAGATGTATCATGCCTTTGATTTAATAGGTCCAGTAGGAATTGAAATGGCGTAAATAGAGGCTTTTAAGAAAACGAATAAGCAGTTTCTTGTGCCCAATTTTAGCAAAATTCTGTCCCATGTAGCTCTTCCTAGTAATAAAAAAAAGGAACCAGTCTTGTAATATAAACCCTAATGAAGTAACTTGAACTTTGTGCACTTTCCTCCCTCTTTAAGATCTGTTATGAAAAGAAAACAGAATGGATACTTCAATCAATTTTAGTTGTCTAAAGCAAGGGTCCCCAACCCCTGGTTCGCAGCCTGGTGCCGGGTCACAACCTGTTCGTATCCAGGCCATAGAAGTGGTGGGTGAGCGCACATGTGTGCACGCATATGAAGCTGTATTTGTGAAAGCGGCACATGTGCAAAACCATCCACCCCCACCCACCCCTTTGGTCCACCAAACCAAAAAGGTTGGGGAACGCTGGTCTAAAGCATTTATCTTGTCTCATATGTTCACTTCTAGATAAAGAAAACATGAAATATACACGTTTTTCCTTCCCTCCCATCTTTAAAGTTATAAAATTAATCTAAAAATATGTTTTATGAGAAATATATTGATTTTCAGTTCAGGGCTTTCTTTGTTTTATGGTTTATTCATACATAACATTCTTTTCAGCGCGTCTTTCATGACCAAGACAGTACAGTATCAGAATGAATTACATAAGTTCCTAATATGGGATACAGCAGGACAAGAACGAGTAAGTAGATAAAGCATTTCTAAATGGGGGTTGATGACATCTTTCTCTGTGACCTACTTATCGTTGGCTGTTATTGTAAGGGATTTTTGTAATGATCATCTTAATTAGCAGGAGTCTCTTAGATATAGTATAGATGTTGTAATAGGGAATTTCAGAATCATCGTCATTGTTTTGTGAAATGATATCATGAGATAAAGGATAGATAAATGTCTTAATAGATATATTATTTCCCTGCTTCATTGACCTTTCAGTACTTTTTTTTCAAATTCAAAAAATAGTCTTATTCTAATATGTCCATGAATTAAGAGAAAATAAGAATGAATTAGAAAACAATTGGATGCATAGTAGAAAATGCATAGGAAAAAGGTATCCTTATTTAACGTATACTAGTAATTACTCTATAGGGCATGGATCCACACTAGCTGTATGTATTCTATTTATCTCTTGTATTTCAGAAAGTTTGATGAGTCTTTAATGATAAGACAGCCTGGGCATGGTATAGCATGTGAACTTAGACTCATAGCAGAAGGATGATTACGTTTCCTCTTGCAATTGCTATTTTAAAATCATTACAATTTTCATTTCCCCATTCTTGGAAATGTGGTTTTAACTAAGTTGAATTAACATTTGCCAGTAAAAAACAGGATCAAAATTCTAGCTTCACCCCCTTGGTGATGTAATTATATCTTCTAGAAAAAAAATATCTAAAGACAAAGTCTCCATTGCTCAATTCTTCCTTAAATGATGTCCTGCTTGAGGAAGACTTTCTGTGCTTCATTAATATTTGCCCACTTAGGGTCCCTGCCCCCCCAATGTATGGATCTAAACCTGTGACTTTCTTGGAAGCTGTACGCAAAGCGTTTGAAGAGGCACTTCACAAAACATGTTGGCTCCTCTTGAATACAGAGCTGCTTTGGGGCCTTTTCCCTGATCAACTTTTTGTATACGTGTAGATAGTAGTTCACTGGAGCTGCTAGCAAAGCAACTCTACATTATGGGTGGAGTGGGATTCAAATTTCTTAACAACCGGTTCTGTGGGTGTGGCCTAATTTGTGGTTGTGTCTTGGTGGTCATGTGACTGGCTGGGGTGGCTTGCTGACTGGGCATGGCTTGGTGGTCATGTAACTAGCTGGGCATGGCTTGTATGTAAATATTATAAATATTTATGTAAATATTGCATTTTTTATAAAAAACAGCAACTTTTACCCAAAATCAGGCAAAGCAGGCAGGCAGATTGAGTTGCTCACAGAATCAGATTCAGAGATCTATCTTTCTGCCTTTGGCTACCTGAGTCTGTCACATGAAATCTGCTTGCAAGCAAACTCATAAAATTAACTCACAACACACCATGTATGTAAATATTGAATTTTTTATTAAAAAAAGAGCAACTTTTACCTAAAATCAGACAGAGCAGCCAGGCAGATTGAGTTGCTCACAGAATCACTTAGAGATCTGTTTCTGCCATCTGTTACCTAAGTCTGCACTGAATAATGGAAGCTTCAGGCTCAGCTCTGCTTTTAGATTAGCTAGAAAGCAAGAAAACCAACGATTTCCTGCTTTCTAGCTAATCTAAATCTCCCGGCACAGCAGAACAGTTGATGGTTGGGGGAAAAAAAGGAAAAATACCAACTTAGCAGGCAAGTTTGATGGCGCGCATGCCAGGTAAGGAGTGAGTGGGCGGGGAGGGGCAGGACGGGTCCAGCCAGTGGTGCGATTTGCCGGTTCTCCGGCAGGTAGATGACCACCCTTGGTGAGAGTGCATTTTGCGTGCACATGTAGACCATTTCCTAAAAACCTCAGCTATGCCGCCGAGACAGCTAACAAGCGCTATGCGCAGGTGCACAGCGTTTGAAAATCCTCTTCTTTCCTGCTTTTTCAACCTCAGTTGTGCCAGGCAAAGCAGCTGAGGTTGAAAAAGCAGGAAATAAAGAACAGCCAAGAGCCCGGGCGGGCGGCTGGGCCAGACAGAGCATCTGTTCTTCAGAGCTACCGGTTCTATAGAACCGGGCTGAACCGGTAGCATCCCACCCCTGATTATGGGCAACCCCTCACTACAGGAAGACCAGCCTTCTGGAGGACAGTGTCATGTCAGCATTTTGAGGAGAGATAACACACACACACACACACACACACACCACACGTTATTTACATCAACACACTTATAAGTGCTCCTTTGAGTGTTTTGCACAGCCATAATATGTAATTTTTACTGTTTGGTATGTCCTCCATTTTATTTTTGTGTTTTCTCTTGAATCCTTTCCACGTCGTGAATTTAACAAACAAGTAAATCACCTGTCCCTAAAATGTAGGTGTGTCCTTGCCTCTTTGCTTACTAGATATTTTGTGATTTTGAAGTATGAAACACAGGGTAAAAGTATGGCTTTTTATATAAGACCAGTAGTTAATTGCCTCAGAATTCTTACCAATCTTCAGGTCTGAATAACAAAATAGACTTTAGAATCTATTTTCTTAAAATATGTCTTTATGTAACTGATTTTGCCATGCTTGAAAAAAGAGGATTCTTTTTTGAGTAAAACTTGCAGCTCTTGCAACAAAAATAACGTGATGTATATATTGTTAGCTCTGTGACTCAGATTTTGTGATCTTCTCCCCTTTTGTAGCAACTATAGAAAGGGTCAGTCTGACTAAGAATAAAAAACATTCAGCTTCAATTTCCCACTCAGCCTTGAACCTAATTGCTTTGAGAAATTGTTTGCATTGATTTTCTTGCATAGCATGGCACAAGTATAATAAAACTATATATAATATCTCCTTACAAGTGGCTAATATACCACTCATCTGCTTCAATTGCTCAGTAAACAGGATTGAAATTTATATTTTATGATATCTTTTTTCTCTTACTACATCTAAATAATGTATTCTAGATCTTTTACTTCAAGTTTTAAATTGCTTCAAGTTACAAATACAAATGAGAGCAACTTTTTTCCTTCTATCATATAGCACTTGACACTTATATACTGCTGAATAAGATAGGATAGGATAGGATAGAATAGAATTGAATTCTTTATTGGCCAGATATGATTGGACACAGAAGGAATTTGTCTTTGGTGCATATGCTCTTAGTGTACATAAGAAAAAATAAAATACATTCATCAAGAATCATAAGATAACAACACTTATTGATAGTCATAGGTTACTTATAAGCAATCAAATCATACATAGGTTACTAATACCACATTATAAAAAATATGTTGAGACTCTTTTTTTCGAAAGTACAGAGAAGAGCAACCAGGACGATTAGGGGACTGGAGGCTAAAACATACAATGAATGGTTGCAGGAACTGGGCTTGGCTAGTCTAGGGAAGAGAAGGACCAGGGGAGACATGCTAGCAGTCTTCCAATATTTGAGGGGCTGCCACAGAAAGGAAGGGGTCAAGCTATTTTCTAAAGTGCCTGTAGGCCAGACAAGGAATAATGGATGGAAACTGAACAAGGAGAGATTTAACCTGGAAATAAGGAGAAACTTTCTGACAGTGAGAACAATCAACCAATGGAGCAGCTTGGCCTCGGAAGTTGTGGGAGCGCCATCACTTGAGACTTTCAAGGAGAGACTGGACTGCCATTTGTCAGAAATAGTGTAGGGTCTCCCGCTTGGGCGGGGGGTTGGACTAGATGACCTAAAAGGTCCCTTCCAACTCTGATTATCTGTTAATACGCAATCAAAACATACAAGGAAAACAAATAAAACAATATAAATTGTAAACATACAAGTAACACGGTTATAGTGATAAGTGGGAAGAGATAGGTACTAGGAAGGATGAGAAGAATAATAGTAATACAGTCTTACTAAGTAATTTGACGGTGTTGTGGGAGTTAGTTGTTTAGCAGAGCAATGGCATTTGGGGAAAAACTGTCCTTATGTCTAGTTTTCTGGTGTTCACAGTGTTTTACAGCTCTCTCTAAGTGGTTTACAGAATTGCATGTTGCCCCTAACAAACAGGCTCTTCGTTTTAGAGCCTCAGAAGAATAGAAGCTGAGTCAACCTTGAGCCATTCAAATTTCTGGAGTGAGCAGTGAATTAGCCTGCAGTACTGCATTCTAACCACTGCATCACCTCGGCTCTTCAACATCAGAGGTGTCAAACTCAAGCCCCACAGGGTGCTTAGAGCTGACCTGTGGGGCCGGCCTGGAAACAGCAAAGGACTGGCCCGCAATGCCTCTGCCAGCAGAAATGGAGCTCGGGTGGGGGCTGAGCTCCATTTTAGCTGGCAGAAGGCTGCAGGAGGTCATTGCAGCTGAAAATGGGGCTCACATGCGGCCTCCCAACCTCCATTTTAGCTGGCAGAAGGCTAGCAAAACAAAATAAAAACAAAATAAAAGGAGAAATGTTTCCCCTTTTGTATTTGAGCATGCAAGAGGGGACAGGAAAGGAGAAAGGGAAAGAGGAAAGACAAAGAAAAAAGAAGGAAAGGGTTTGAAGGACTTCGGCGACAGACAGACATCCGCGATCATGTGCGGTTTCTGTCTGGGCTCGCTGCTGGAGCGCCCCGAGCCGGCTGGTTTCAGGGCTAAGCCACCCCGTAGAGGTGGTGAAGAGGGGGGAGACCGCCAGCAGGGTCGAGGAGAGCCGCATCTCTCCTCCTCAGCTGGCCATTACTTCCTTTTCCGAAGGCGGTTGCAGCAGTGGTCAGAAATGGCCACCACAAAGGAAAACTCGACCGGAAAAGAATGTGCAGGAGGAAGATAAGAAGTGAAAGTTTTGGCTGACCGGGTTAAATTGTAAAAGCAACAACTAAGGTACCCTGGAATTTAAACTTACAAAAAATAACATCGCTCCCAAAGAAGAGTCGGAAGCAGCGAAGGAAAGTGAAAAGGGAAAGGTTTGGCTTTTTTTTTCTTCTCTCTCCTTCCCTATACTGACAACTAAGAGACTTAAATAAGAAATCGGAAAAATCCGCTTTGACATCAATAGGCAATTAAGCTGAAAATAAAAAAAAATGCCAAAGGGATAATAAAGATTTCTGGACATTAAAAGTTTTCTTTTTCATAAGCAGGAAGGGAGAGAAAAAGAATAAGGGCAGGATCTGGAAGAGGGAGGAGACTGCCTGGAATTAAAAAGAATCTACAGTAAATCTTCAACAAGACTTCTAAAAGATACATTTTAACTGAAACTTTGCAACTAAATAGTAACCCCAGGAAGAGAAAGTGGGAAAAAAAGAGCAAAAAAGAAACAGCTTGCGTGTATTTGGACTATTTGGTGATCTTTGGATTCTTGGTTATTATATTTGAATGACTAAAATCAATCGGGTGGTTGTTTAAAAATTTATACAGTGGCACCACTTCTGGATGAATTGAAAATGGAACTTAAAAAGTACAAAGAAGATGCACAAGAAGGGAAGGGTTCTTTTGGCTTCGTTTTTCAATTCTTAGAAATGGAGATTTGGAACTATGAGAAACAACAAGAAACGACTGCAAAATAAGAAGACTGGGACAAAGAAGAAGCCATCTTTAATGAACAAGCAATTTTATGTGGGGAAGAAAAAGGAAAGGGGGGAAAGAGAATGGAGAATTTAAGACTTAAAAAAACAACCAAAGAAAAGAAAAATAATTCAAAAAATAAGTATAATACTGGAAAGCAACAGAAAAGGGGAATACAGAAGAGAGAAATAGAGGTAGAGAGACAAGGGGGTAAAAGGGGGAGAGAGAAGAAGAGAGGGAAGAAGGAAAGGAAAAGAAGTTACAAAGGACCGGAGCAAGATATAGAGAAACAGGACCTATTTAGAGATAAAGGGTGAAAATTAAACTGAAAAGGGGATTCTGTAAAGGTACATAAGATTGTATTGTTATATTAGTAATAGAAATAACTTTAGAAAATTGGAAACAACGTATGATTAAAATGAGGGATAAAATAGTTAGTGTAATTTAGTGAAATGTTTGTGAATAAAATAAGTGGAAAAAAAATAAATGAGAAAATTGAATTAGGAAGGAACGGGAACATTTTAATTAGTTAATGTTTTATAAAATATAAGTGGGGGGGGGAATTAACTATGGAAAGCTTATAATTGTTCCCATAGAAGTATGATATTTAATTGAAAAGTAATGTTAAAGATGTTAAGACTTTAATGAATATTAATATTAATGATAGAATTGAATTGGAATGGAATGTTGTTTTAATTATATATATTTATAATTTTTTTCTTTTTTTAAGAATACAGTGTGTATTTTAAGAATGTACCAAGCAGAATCCGAATGGAAGTTATGTATTATATTGAATGTTACAACTTTAGGGAAAAGATATAAAGGCGTCATACTCCAACCAGTAACTACAGGAGAAATTTTGTTTAATGAGAAAAGATAATAGATAATTGAAACAGGACAGACAAAAAATATAAATAAAATGATTTGAATTGAGATGAGATAATTAAAATAAAATTGAGAAAATTAAAAGAGGGGAGAAGCTATGCAGAAAATGTAAAATAGTAATAAGATATGGAATAGAATATAAAAATGAGCATGAACCTGAATTTGTGTACGAAGAAATGTAACCCGGGATTATGCTGCTTTCAAAAAAGATGTTTTAATTGTATTTCTTTTCTTTTTGTGAAAACTAAAATAAAATTTACCCAAAAAAAGAAAAAAGAAGGAAAGGGGAAGAGAGCAAGGAAGGAAAAATAAGGAAAGGGGAAAAAAGGAATGAGAATGAAGAAGGAAGGAAGGAAAGAAGGAGATTATTTTGAGAGTAAGGGAAAGTCTCAGGAAAGTTCTGCCTTAGCATTTGGCCACCACAGGTGCCCCCGACATGAGTGACGTTGAGCTGCCCATGCCTACCATGGCCACACCTACCCCTGTCCATGC